GGTACTCTAAGAACATACCCTGACCTGGTGTTACTGGAGATTCCATAGTATATCCCAGAGGAAATAGAGGATGCAAAATGTAAAATTACACAGCTTGAATCCATAGGTTTGCGGAGGACACCAGAGGGAAAGATCATTCTTTCAGAAACAGTGGGCAGGACTCTGGGAACTGACCTTCACCAGGATACTCATCTGGGGTCCACAGAACTTTCTGCATTGCTCAGACCAAGGTATATTATACTTATATATATAATATACTTATATAAGTATATTATACTTATATACAATAATATATATAATATATATAATATACTTATATCATATATGATATATAACACACCATATATTATATGCTACTTATATAATATATAATATAATATGATCTACAATATATGATATGAGATATATGATATGTATAAAATATAACATATGATATGCATGATATACGATATATGATATATACAATATATAACATGTAACACATACGACATATGATATATAATATATGGCATATAATATATAATATATGATATATGCATATGATATATATAATATGGGCATGCAACATACATCACATAACACATGTATTACATATCATATATATTATATATTAGATATCGCACATATATGATATATTATGTCATACATCATATACGATAGGTATTATATCATATATCATGCTATATACTATATATTATATGTTGTGTATCATATACTATATGGTATATTATATATTGTATAGTATGCTTTTATATATTATTTATATAATACTATGTATATTATATATTATATAGCATATATTATAATATATACTATATTATATATTACATAAATTGTATATTATATGTTCTATATTCTATATTATGTATTATATTGTATATTATATATTATATGTTATACATTGTGTATTATATTATATTATATATAACTATAATATAAGTATATTATATTAAGTATACTTAAGTATATCATATTATACTTATTAGTCTAGTGTGGGATGTCTTAGCCAGATGCCAGGTTTGTGTTCAAGTAAATCCAAAACAGAGAGCCCATAGCTACGAAGGGGTCTGAATGAGAGATCAACACCCAAGAGATGGGAAAACTAAGTTCACCAAGATCTGTCCTTCCAGGGGAAAATACAAATATTTCCTAGTCTTATCTTTTTCCAAGTGGTTAGAAGCATTCCCCACCTGGACTGAAGCTGTTCAAATAGTAGCATAAAAAGTTCTTCCAGGAACTGGCCCCCTGATATGCCCTACCCCTAGCCATGGGGTCTGACAATGGTCTGAATTTTATAGTCAAAACCTCAGTTAATAGCTAAAGCTAAAAACTGATTTGTATATTGACTACAGATTTATGGTCAGGTAAAAAGAATAAACAGGGCGTCAAAATAAACTCTAACAAATCTCTCATTAGAGTCCATCAAAGGATGGATTTTATTTGCTTTGATTTGGGCCACTGCAGCCCATATAGGAGAGATTTGCCCCCATAAGAAAATGTTAGGAAGACCTCCCCCACTGCTTCCCAGGCTCAGAGAGCAGCAGTTGGCAGAACTCTCTAACCACTCCTTCCTCAAGTCACTACAGGCCCTCCAGTCCTCCATAAAGGCTATGCATTGACTACCCGAGAGACCTAGGCAAACTCAGATCCATCACCTGTTTCCCCTTGTTTCTGGTGAGACAGTCTGTGTCTAGCAGGTATCCAAAGAAGCACTTAAATCTATACATAGTGATTCTCTCCACTGCTATAGCTATGAAGGTAGCTGGTATTACACCAAGGGTCCACCACACCCAGGTCAAAATGTGGAAGCCACGGATGTCACTGTCAAATGGACTGCCTCCTGAACTATGGACCCATTAAAATTAAGGTTTCATCAGGCCACAGGCCTTTCCACTCCCTGCCTCTCTAACTCTTCCTGAGTCTTATGTTTGGTCCTATGGATATGAATATAGGGTCATGATCCAAACTCACCACCCACAGACGTGGACCTGGGAACTGAAGAAGACAGATATAGGTAGGAGATAGCTAATGTGGCCACAGACCAGCAACCCATATCCCATCTTGACCATCGCTCACTGATACCCACTTCTAGTGTCTAGTTGTATTGGGGAGATAGGTGGGAGTATGTCTTTTGAGATAAGGATACAGAGTTATAATTCTCTTCATGCTGGGCAGCTGGACCCCTTAGTTGCCAGGAACAAGGGAGTTTCCATCGCAAAAATTGTCATTGTGAAACAGGATTCCTAAAACAATCCTTTAAACGATTCTGGGTCTTTGGGAAACAGGGATAACCTGAGGGGACCTGACTTTATGCCGCAGGAAGGGACCTATGAATACATTTAAACTACTCCTCGAGGTCCCCAGGCCTTTGGGTCCTAACAAAGATCTCTCCATGCCAGGCCCAGGCCAACTCACCCCTGCAAAGCAGTTAACACATCCAGAGCCACTGCCCAGGAAGACCATCCCCACTGTCCTAGTAGCTGAGTGACCCCATCCCTCTTTTCTACTCTTGACAATGTCTGCCACTTAGTTACTCATTTCCAGCCAGAAAAGGCCTTGATTGCTGGGTATGCTTAAACACCTGTTCCCTGTACTACAAACAGATAGGAACTAACCAGACTGTCAGCCATTGACAGACAAAACTCACTGGGATTGGGGCACCCCAAATTAGCATTAGAGGACTTAACCTGGGCACTTCTCTTATCCCGATGCCTGCTATTCTGCCTTATGGGTTAATTCATCTGGATAACAATGATAGTACTGAGTCCCTGATACTACTTGATGTATGTATGCATGTACTGTTTGACTAAACGTGCCTCTTCTGATACATTCCAAACAAAGTAGACAGGTTGATTAGGACCTACAGATACTAAATTTCCATTTCTGAATTAAAACAACAGTTAGATCCCTTTACAGAAATGCTCTTGCAAAGGAGACTATGCATGACTTTGGGAGAAACTTGTTGTTTCTTTGTTATTTGATCAGGAGTAGTTGGAGAAATTCTTGCCATGGTCGGGGAAAACCTCCAAAAGAAAGAGACAAAGACATAAATAATTGGTACCAGTCTCTGCTCTCTTGGTCCCCCTGGCTAACTACTCTGCTATCAGCACCGGCTGGGCCTTTAATTCTCACTCTGATTAGATGAACTGTGGGCCCTGCATCTTAAACTATAAGGCCAGTTATGTATCAGTTCAGTAAAATTAATGGTCCTTGGGTCTAACTACCTCTTTATATAGCAGGGTAAGTCCACGACTTGACTCATTCACGAAGACCAGTGGGGGACATAACAGGGCCCCAGAACGTAGCATGCCCCCAGACCTTAGCACAGCTGACTCCATGGTGGAAGTATATTCAGGCTGTGAAACTCAGCAGGTTACAGCACCATCTGCCAACACTATAACAAAGACCTACTCCAGCAAGGTCCACAGTTCTGAGAACATCTCTAAATGTACTAATCTTGCCTTTTGGCTTCTATAGCTCTGCTTTTGGCTAACTGTTCTTGTTAACTGAAGTATGCCAACCCAAGACTGGATTTTCTGCTTAAAAGCTCACCCTGAGAAAGGCTTAGTGCTACACCGGGATCCTGGACACCCATTGTAGTTGCCGGTGGCTAGCAAAGGCTTTCTATAGGCTTAAACTCTTGTCTGAGTAGTTTCCCCGTGGATACTCCACAACAGTAACTATCACATTTTCACTGTTCTCTCCCAGTAGATACTGGGGGAGGGTGTTGTCCAAAAGTTGTGCTTTACCTCTTATTAGTAGAATTAATTACTGGTGTTGTCTTTTCTGTTGGTTGAGACATTCATACTCGTGTATGATGCTTTGAACAAGGATGCCACCCCATTCTCTCCCTTCCAATTCATCTTCTATCCCAAATTACAATTCCCTCCCTACTTCATGTATTTTCCTCTTTAAAAACAAATAAAAAACCCCAAGGGTTCCATTTAGTGCTGTCAGTACATACATGGGAGTAGGGCCATCTCCTGGAACATCGGTAGCCCCTCAGGAGCCTCATGTTTGAAGAAAGCTGGCTCTCCCTCTCCCAACATCAGCTGTCAGGAGTTCTCGGCCAGGGCAGGAATTCTTGACCTCCTTCCCTCTCCATGCTGGTATTTTGTCTGATTTAATCGTGTTCAGGTTATGTACACATAATCACAGCTACTGTCAGCTCATATGGTACAGTTGCCCCGCTGTGTTCAGAAAACAGTTCCACTGTACGAATCCACCGACTCTGTATCTTCAAATCTTTCCGCCCCTTCCTGAGACAATTCCTGAGCCTTGGGAGGAAGTGACTTCAGTCTACATAGGTTTTCATCTTCTGCCTCTTATGGGCCAAGCAAAGTGAAAAGTTGTGTCAGATTCTCTTGTGATTATACCGTACTAATTATTCTCATGTTCAGTGGTACAAAAAGTCTAAAATGTCACATGCTTAAGTAGGAAATGTTCAGTAGTGAGTGGCCCTGAACCACTGGCCCTCACATGGGCACTATCAGCAGGCCAAGGATCAGAAGAGAGGTCACTGAGCATAGTTTCAAAACCACTCACTGGTCATCAAAGTATAGTCCCTTCCAAAGGCTATAAAAAGCCAAGAATGCAGGGTACAACTCATTCAACTTGACCCTCAAAGTCCAGGTATTAAAATTTAACTGGATAAGATGTAGCTGTTTAATGTCAGGCTCCTAAACCGACTGCAGAATGAATGTATTTGTGAAGAAGGAATCACGGATCTCAGGCTAAAGCTGTAGAAGAGGAAGGGAACTGAACTTTGCCCACAATTCGCCCCTCAGCCATCAGATTTCTTCCATCAAACCTTGTTATTGCAGGTATGCTGAGGCACTAAATTGAACAGTGATGGCCACCCAGAAAACTAGACCTTGGGAGTGGGCGTGGCAAGTCAGGACTTGCTATCCTGTGTAGGGTTTAGGTCAGAAACAGCTGTCCAATCATAAAGGTGGGCGGGGTCGAGGGGTGGGACCTATTACAGAGTTTTTAAACTCGGGGCTGCAGTGAGGAGCACCAAACTGGTCTCCTCGCTGCGGACTTACTTGCTGTCCTGACAGGAGTCTTGGAGCCATCAGGTAAAAACCAGTGGCCCCGTGGGGCCAATGCGCTGGCAACTGCTGGCGCGTGCGCTAGCGCTAGCGCTTTCGCGCTTTCAGGTGGACCGGGTTCTGTCTGCGTATCCGAGTTCGCGGAGGCTTTGTTTCTGGCAAATTCAGGGCGCAGTCCTCGGGGGTTCTCACTTTGGGAGGACCAGGGGGTCTGAGCTGCTCCGAGGAGGTACTGAAGGCTGGGAAGAGAGTTGGAGTGGGTGGGAAACGGCCTTCTAGATTTGGCTTTCGCCCCTCTGTCCCTTAAGCTGGGCACTGGGCAGTGACAAGTTATTTGTAGATGACACAGTTCAGACAGATGCCTCTTCCCCGCCATGCAGTTACAAATCTATGAATCCCAAGTTTCCCCAGCTTTGAGATGACTGCTATTCACCTGGTAAAGGAGGGCCTGAGGATACCCTTTACTGAAAGGGTTTGAGAGGTGGAAGCTTCAGAGCTGGGGTGGGGTGGGGTGGGGTGGAGTGGAGGGCTCTCTGGTCTACCCTGGTCACTAGATTGTGTCCTAGCCCTGCTAAGATAGAACCAGGCCCTGGCTGAAGAGCTCTGCCTTCTTATCTTTGGAACTAGGACTCAGCTGTATTTGGCATTCCTCATTCTACTAAAGGTTTTGAGTCTTGATCATAAATAGCGACTTTTCTTTTTTCTTTTACACACTCTCTAATGTTACAAGAAGGTATTATGAGACTTGTAATTGGCAATGACTAGGTTAATCCCTTCCCTGTCTTATTGCAGTGTTCTAATACACTGACTTTGGACATTCAATAGAAATTAGTACAGTGTTGTGTGCCTCTCTTTTAGTGTGTGATGCTCACCATCATTCCCAAATCCCCTAAAAGAAGCTGACTGGAAAGTGAAGATGCTCATAGTCTCATTTTACCTGTGCTGGGATTTTAAAAGTCAGGCTTTTGGGATAAAACTGGACTCTCTGAACATAGCAGACAATGAGGACTACTGAGAACTCAAGAACAATGGCAATGTGTTTCTGATCCTACTGCACGCACTGGCTTTGTGGGAGCCTAGGCAGTTTGGATGCTCAACTTACTAGACCTGGATGGAGGTGGAGGTGGAAGTTCCTTGGACTTCCCACAGGACAGGGAACCCTGATTGCTTTTCGGGCTGGGGGGGGGGGGGACTCAATTGCGGGAGGGGGAGGGAGGGAAATGGGAGGCGGTGGCGGGGAAGAGACAGAAATCTTTAATAAATAAATAAATTTTAAAAAAGTCAGGCTTTTATTTTCCCCTGGGTTTCTAGAGTATCTTAGTTTCTGGAGCATCTTCATCTGCTGTCATTTGCTGCCACCAGAAATGGACTAAATCTTTGCCATCAGAGTACCCTACGAAAACATGACTTTCTAAGGCTGGCTGTTTCCTTGTTGAAAACCAACATACAATGTATTCATTGATATTTTGAATTTGTATGAAGTTTTAATTGTTATTCCTAATGATCATAGTTCTAGCAGGTAACGTTTTGTTGTTGTTCTTCTTTCAGTCAAAATGGGTGACAAACTGGACATGTCGGAAGTTGAAAAATTTGACAAATCAAAACTGAAAAAAACAATTACTGAAGAAAAAAATACACTTCCATCGAAGGAAAGTAAGTCATGGAGGTTTCTAGTGGAGAGGAACAATGGTGAAAGTTAGCATAGTCAGTTAACAAACCTATGCTCTATTAAATTTTCCACAAAGTAAATGATAATAATTAGTGTCCTATTATACTTAACAGTTTAAAATAACCAACAGCTGATTTTGTTATTTGGGATATGTAAGTGTTCCTGTATTAATAGGAACCAGTAGCAATAATAGTAGTAATAGGCACCAGTAGTATAAAGAAAAAAAAGTAATTTCTTGTTGAAAATTACAAAATTCACATTAAAATCAATCTTGGAATCTTTGACTAATCACTAGGGAAAACCCTATGTGTTCTTTTAATCACGCATCTTCCGATTTGAGCCTGAGATCTTGTCCCACTAATGAATTCTGCAGATGCTGCTCTTCTGATCTGTTCTGCTTAAAGACAAATAAAATGGACTAAATTCAGATCTTGAATATACTTGATGCTCCCAGACTCAGGGGATAATTGTTACTCCTAGACTCAGGGGATCATTGTTACATCTTACTGGAGAACTTCAAAAAAAATTTCACAAATGCTGTGCTATGCTTTTTGTTACACCAACATTGTTTGAGAGTTCCAAAACTAGATGAAACTGTTTTAAAGTTTCTTTATTGTATTTTGATAGATGTATTGGAAGGAAATGCTTCATTTACCTTTTTGTCTCAAATAATGGCAACTGTATAAATCAAATGGAATGTAAAACCCAGAGTTTAAGTAGATATTAAATCTTAATATCAATTTAATATTAAACTTTAATAGGTATTAAAATGGTTGATGTGTACTCTCCCATCACTTTGTGAGGCTTTGTGGGTGGTACCTTGGTATTCTGAATTTAAAGCATTATGATAACCATTTAAAGAATCAGCAGAGATTCTTTTTAATGGTGCTGGGTTTCAAACCCCAGTTCTTAGTTCACGCTAGGCATGCACTGTACTACTGAGCTCCACCACACAGTCTGGCAACAAGGAACCCTAGGAAGAAACTAAACATATTAGAAAAAGTCTCTCCTAACAATAATTTGATGTTTCTTTTTTCCCTAGCTATTCAGAAGGAGAAAGATGATATTAAAACATCATAAAATGAAGACCTCCTTTCAAGACCTACTCCAACCATGCCTGATAGTAAGGGTTTTAGGATTGTAGAGATTTTAGGCAGTGACTCATGGAGTCTCACCTCTACTGCCTTGGATGAAAGGTCACCATTTGCCAATGATCATTAAACTTGGTTGTAAACTGCCCACTGGTGTGCAAATGTGGTTTTTCACTTGCTACAAGACAAGCTGATTTTAACCTAGAGTGGGGCCCTCAAATGCTTCATCATCTTTGTGAAGGTGTACTCACAACTATTTGCAGCTCCTCAAGTTTATCTTCATTTCTAATGTAACAAATATAACCACGAACTTCCTATGGTACATTCATGAAATTACACAAGGGTACTTTTTCAATTAAAAATAAATGAAGGGAAACCTCTTGAGCAGATTACACATATGTGAAGTTTAAGGTGGTAATGAGAACTAATGCCCTTATTTGGGAATGAAGAAATGGAACCATAGAACCTAAAAAGATCTGTATAGGATGTGAAAAGGTAGCCCTGCTTTCTTGAAAGTGTTTTTTTTTTCTCACCTTAATGGAAACACCCAAACCTGGAGCTGGATGGGGAGGTGGCAGAAAATACTTGCTAAAACACACCATATTAAAGACAACAGGGTCTTCTACTGAGATATTTAATATCTGTTGATGACTTGTATTACTTATTCTCTGTTCTGGTCCTTGCATTGAATAGGGTTTACTTTCTTGCGAACCGAGCATTTTCATCATTAGTGACATAAGTGCTACTGACTTAAATGTGTTCTCCTAGTTCGTATGCATATATCTCAGCTCCCAATATACTTATACATGGTGGTAGGATCTTTTAAGGGTAGTTAAAGTTAAGTAAGGTTCTAAGAGTGAAGCCTTATAAAAAGAGGGAGTGGGGAAAGAAGGCAGGACACATACACACGCACATACAGACAGAGAGAGAGAGATCTTGGAAGGATGCTGTGTCTAAAGGTGCCTATACAACTGAAATGCACGTGTTCTGCATTCAATCCTGCTGGACCTTGGTCTGTTTGGACTTGTGACATCCAGACCTGTGAGGCTTTACATTTCAGTTATCTAGACCACCTAGTCTGCAGTGATTTTGTTAGAGCAGCTTGAACTGACTACTATACCTAGGAAAACACGTAAACAACCATGCCTCAATCCTTACCTTTAATACCTTTACTGCTTTAAATGTATAAAGCTAACCACCTAAATATCACCAAGTAGAGATGTCCGCCACTCAGGATAACTGGCCAGCATGTTATCCTAATTTACATATCTTCTTTTTAAAAGGTTACCTATTTGTGACCTAACATGTTAATCTGCTTTATCCTTTCGAGGGGCTTATATCATTAAATAACAATTGTGGTCACAAGAACTAGAAGTGATTTTGTGTGTTATCATAAAATTCCCCAAGTTTCAGTCAGTCATGACCAGAAGAGTATGGCAGAGGTGCTGGGCCTCTTTGATTTTTCCTTGATTCCTTTTATTGTTAGGAATTTTTCCTAATGCGAGCTCTCTGCCGACACAAAATTCCAATCAAGCCAAATCAAAATAATCCAAATTAAAAAATATCCAGGTTTAATGGGATTCCTGCACTCTCCGGTGGCCCTGAGGGCCGCGAACACCATCACCAGGAGGAAGGAAAAGAAAAGAGACCAAGTGATTCTCCTTTGGGAGCTATCTTAAATACCCTGTGGGAGTGGTAGGGACTTGGCATGCTGGGATTTGGAGTCCAGACAAGAGACCAAGTGAGTCTCCTTTGGAAGCTTTCTTAAATACCCTGTGGGAGGGGTCAGGATTTGGCATGCTGGGAGTTGGAGTTCAGACAAGAGACCAAGTGATTCTCCTCTGGGAGCTATCTTAAATACCCTGTGGGAGTGGTCGGGACCTGGCATGCTGGGATTTGGAGTCCAGACCAATACAACTCTCAGGCTGGAAGCTGGAGGCTGAGGCCTAGTCTCTCGACTAACAATTCTGTCCCAGCTTTCAGCACATAAGATGCTGCACCCGCAATCATTTTTTTTTTTTTTTTTGGTTTTTTTCGAGACAGGGTTTCTCTGTGGTTTTGGAGCCTGTCCTGAAACTAGCTCTTGTAGACCAGGCTGGTCTCGAACTCACAGAGATCTGCCTGCCTCTGCCTCCCGAGTGCTGGGATTAAAGGCGTGCGCCACCACCGCCCGGCCCCGCAATCATTTTCTTTCCCCTCATTTCACCTTGAAACATTTTCACAGGTCCATCAAAAGGATGCTTCTCTGTATCCTAGATGATTTAAATCTAGTCAAGCTGAAAATTAATAGCAATATTATCCTTCATATGCAGTTTCTTCATTTATCTTCCATTAAACAAATATCTGAGAGCTACTCTTCAGTTTCCTACATGATTTGGCTAACAGTGAAAATACGGGGTCATAAGTTGGAATATGTTTCCTAGTTTGTTTTTTTTTTTTTAAAAATGATGCTATAAGAAATACTCAAAGGGGTAGTGGAGTGAATATGATCAAAGTGCTTCATGTGTATATACAAGAATATTATATAGATTAAAACTGTCACAATGAAACTACGGTTTTGCCATTTGTGGTGGTTCATGCCCTATAATCTCAGTACTTGGGAGGTGGACACAAAAGGAGCAGAACTTAACTCAAGACTGGCTAGAGCTACATGAGACCCTCTCCCAGTGAACAATAGCACCACTCTGCACTAGCTTGTAGAATTAATATGTACTATTTTAAAAAGCTATACTCAGTTACAACATATAATATTTAGACATGTCTAATGAAAACATCCAAGAATATATACAATAATTTTAAAAGACTTTTTGTTCTTCTTTTTGAATTTTTAAATTCATTTTACACACCAACCACAGTTACCCCTTCCTCCCCTCCTTCTCACTGCCGCCACACCTCCCCCACCCCCCATCCACTCCTCCCAAAGGGTAAGGCCTCCCATGGGAAGTCAACAAAGTCTGGCACATCAAGATGAAGCAGCACCAGGCCTCTCACCACTATATCAAGTCTGAGTAAGGTATCACACCACAGGGAATGGGCTATGCACCAGGGATAGATCCTGGTCCCACTAACAGGGGACCCACAAACAGATCAAGCCACACAATTGCTACCCTCATGCAGAGGGCCTAGTTCAGTCCCAAGCCGGCTCCCCAGCTGTTGATCCAGAGTCCATGAGTTCCCACAAGCTCAGGTCAGCTGTCTCTGTGTGTTTCCCTGTCATGATCTTGTTTCCCCCATCCTTCTCCAGCTCATTGATCATATTCACCCCTTTGACGCCTCCAAAATCTGCCCTACCTCCTCTTCCCCCCAAATCTGTGCCACTTCATAATTTATTTATTTATATTTGTTTGTTTATTGTTTTTTGGGACAGAGTTTCTCTGTGTAACAGTTCTAGCTCTTCTACCACTAGCTGTTAAAGACCAGGCCTTGAACTCACAGAGATCCGCCTATCTCTGCCTCCTGAGTGCTGGGATTAAAGGCATGCACCACCACCCGGCATTTTTTTTCATTAATAGCCTATTGAATCCAATTTGTGCTGCCCATAGTCTCCTGAGAGTAAATGTCATACCCTGGAGTGTGGTTGACCTACCAGTACCCACACCCTTAAGGAAAACAGCCCTGCCCACCTCAGAAAGCCACCAACTGTCCACAGCCCTTCAGTTAGGGGTAAGGTCCACGAACTTCTTACCCCTCATACTAGAATATTGACTTTTTTGATCTTGTGCAGGAAAGCACAGCTACTGTGAGTCAAAACACAGCTCATGTCATGTCCAGAAGATACTTAGTTTATTTTGGTCTTTCCTAACTTCTCATTCTTAACAATCTTTCCACCCCTTCTTCCAATATGGTACCTGAACTTGGGGTAGGGGTGGTTGGAAAAAAATACTTTTTATGGTTCCAATCTGAAATATCTCCTTCAGGCTTATGTTCTCAATTTTTTTATTTTTTTATGATTTATTTATCTTTATGTGCATTGGTGTGAAGATGTCAGATCCCCTGGAACTGGATTTTCAGACAGTTGTGAGCTGCCATGTTGGTGCTGGGAATTGAACCCTGGTCCTCTGGAAGAGCAGTCAGTGCTCTTAACCGCTGAGCCATTTCTCCAGCTCCTGTTCTCATTTTTTAATGACCCACTGATCGCGAAGTCTTTGAGACAGTCGGACCTGGAAAGCAGAATTAGTTCAATATGGCTGTTTAGATAGGCTAATGTCAGCTTGCTTGCCGTGATTCCTGGTAATTCATTTTACACACCAACCATAGGTCCCCCTTCCTCCCCTCCTTCTCACTCTCCCCCACACCTCCCCCACCCCCCATCCACTCCTCCCAAAGGGTAAGAAATAAAGAGCTACCACTGCACACTGTTGGCAGAATGGACTCTACCAATACTTTCCTTGTCAGGGTGGACTCTAGTCTCTGAAACATGTGCCAAAATAAATCCTTCCTCGTTGTTTTTGTCAGGCTTTCTCACAGTGATGAGATAAGTAACTAATTCAGCCATTTATTCAAGCTCATTCTGCACACCCACCTAACTAATCCAACACTCATTTCCCTTTAGTCTAGTGGAAATGAATGATAAATGAGGAAAGTTATTATGTAGAATGATGAATCATGCCAATCACATTGGGGTTGGGTAATGACTCCAGTGGGTGAATTTTGTTATACATATATTCTTGAAAGTGAAGATAGAGTACAGCCATCAAAGAGTTTGAGAAAATGAATGGTAGTTTCAACCTAATTCTTGTAATAATTTCCCATCATTCTCCTAATCTGATGCTAAAGATAGGAGTCACAACTTTGAATTTATATTCTTAATTTGTCACAACTAAACAGAGCAAAAAATAACAAACCCAAACATCAATCCCTTTCTCATTCTGGGGACAGAACACGCAGGGAGACAATTACTGGTTCAGGCAAAGTCACTCTCCCATAAGTGTGAGCTGCTAGCTGTGGCCTAAGGGCTGATGGTTCTTCTTTAGGTAAGTCAGTGGAGATTGGAACTTTGGCTGCTCTCACTGGATGCTTCCATCTGTCCAGTTAGTTTCAGATCACTAAAATTTACAAAATAAAGTTTATTATTCTTAATCCCTAAATCCTCTATGCTC